GGACTGATGAAGACCGGACCCAGATGTTCTGTGTCCATCAGGAGGAGGACTGATGAAGACCGGACCCAGATGTTCTGTGTCCATCAGGAGGAGGACTGATGAAGACCGGACCCAGATGTTCTGTGTCCGTCAGGAGGAGGACAGGGGAGGACGTGGGCTTTATTGACGAGGACCAAACGTCTGAATCCGTTTTTAAATAAAGTTTATTCAAAGTTTCAGTTTCTGAGTCTGCAGAGCTTCTGTCTTCAGGGAGGACTCCAGCTGAAGTCCTTCCAGGCGGATCCTCAGGGTCGGGCCGGGGTGGGGGTGGGGGGGCTCACTCCCTCCCATGACCTCATCACATTCTTCCTCCTCAGAAGCAACAATGGCTGCTTTGACTTTTAAAAGTGTAGGTCTGAACGAGCCTCGGCCTGCAGCCAGAGCCCCGCCCACTCAGTAATCTGATTACTCCCGGCCATGCCCTCTCAGTAATCTGACTACTCTTGGCCCCGCCCACTCAGTAACCTGACTCCAGCAGATTCCTGTGATGTGTTCACAATCAGATATTTGTGTCTCAGGACAGAAACTCTGCAGCTGCAGAGAAAAAAATAAAATTAAAACTTTTGTTATTTTTTTCAGCAGAATTCATAAAAAAACATAAAAGAATAAAATTTAAATGATTTTAGAGCAAATTAACAAAAACTTTCAGTAAAACTTAGAAATGAAAAGAAAATTAAGACTTTTTTAAATGAAGTTTGGTTTGTTTTAATCAGGAATTAAGGTTTTGTAAAGCTGTGGTTTGAACTGGTAACATGGTTCTGACCCAGTTCTGATACAGTTTGACCCGGTTCTGATACAGTCTGACTCGGTTCTGATACAGTCTGACCTGTTTCTGACCCAGTTCTGATATAGTCTGACCTGGTTCTGACCCAGTTCTGATACAGTCTGACCTGGTTTTGGCCCGGTTCTGATCCAACTACAACATACCTAACCTCCATGCTGCAGCACTGAATGCACAGAGGTCACAGGAACAGAACCGGACCGGACCGGACCTGTGGTTCTGGAACTGGACCCACCTGAGGACCAGAACCAACACACAACCAGGTCTGACCCAGTTTGCTGTTCTGCAGTGACCCGACCTCTGTTACAGATTAACCTGCTGCCATCAACAGGACGGTTCAGAACCAGGGAGGCGGGTCCGTTTCTACAGCAGAACATGGGCCATCAGAACCACACCTGGACCATCAGAAACACAGCTCAGAACCACACCTGGACCATCAGAACCACACCTGGGCCATCAGAACCACACCTGGGCCATCAGAACCACACCTCAGAACCACACCTGGACCATCAGAACCACACCTGGACCATCAGAACCACACCTGGACCATCAGAACCACACCTGGACCATCAGAACCACAGTTTGTTGATTCTTTAGTCTGAGGACAAACAGGAAGTGGGAGGAGTCAAACCTGTAAAACCTTCATCTGCTCTTCTGTTGGATAAACAGACGAGCTGTGATCTGATTGGACCGAGGAGATCAAAGGCCAGGTGTGTGTGTGTGTGGGGNCACACACACACACACACACACACACACACACACACACACACACACCAGCTCATTAACCTGCTGTGTCACATTTTAAAACAGATAAAATCTTTTAGCTCTTCACTTTAAAACCAACCAATTGAAGCCCCGCCCCCAGCAGGCCCCGCCCCCTGTGCTGCTGGCACTCACCTACGGAGCTGCAGCCACAGGGCAGGCAGCGGCTGCCGCTCTGCTCTCTGTAGTAGTAGTCCAGGCAGCGCTCACAGTTAGCTCCGTCTGTGTTGTCGGCACAGTTCCTGCAGTGACCTCCATGACCCGTGGCCCGGTACAGCTCAGCATCAAAGTAACACTCAGAACTCTTCCCGTTACAGCTGCAGGCTGAGTCACACACACACACAGGATACACACAGGATACACACAGGTTACACACAGGATACACACAGGTTACACACAGGATACACACAGGTTACACACAGGTTACACACAGGATACACACAGGTTAC